TGGTGCAAAATGGACCAGAGAAGACTCCGGTGGGCAGCTGGTTCCAGACGGGGAAAACTGCGCAAGGGTAGGCTCGACACAGGTTGTTTCGGGAAGGGACTGGAAGTTCATTTGCCAGTTGGTGTGCGTGGGCGTTACATCTTTGAAACGCACTACGGGTGGAGTGGACTGTTTGGGATTGGGGCTGCTGGGGTGGCAGCATCCTCTGTAGAAGGCGATGTGCATCTGGACAATGCATATTGTACAGGAGGCAAAGGTACGGTCCCTAATCAATTAGGTGAGCCAGAGTGGTTTGTGCTCGGACAAAGCGCTTGCAGATCACACAATGACACCTGGAGTCCAGCACTCGAGAGGGATTCCGGAGGAAGCTGAGATGCTGCGATCCTCGAATAGCCAACTTGGAAACATATACCAGATCTCTTCAAGACATTGGACTTACGAGCACGTTTGAGGTGACGCAAGTAACTTATTACCGTAGTTCCGCGCATACAAGCCCATGGGCTAATATACGAAAATAATAATGCATTTTCGGGGGAAAAAATCTGTAATAATGGTTCGTTTTTTAGCCCTGGACCTATATTCGAATTTTGAAGGCAGCTGGCACGCAAAAAAGTACAAGTCCGTGCACGTGCGCAGTTGTCCGCCTACCGCAGGTACCGGTACTGGTAATCTAGTTTGCACCAGGGAGTCTGCACCAGGGAGTAGTGAATACTGTATTTTACTACTCCCTGGTCTGCACTGACATATTGTACTATCGGTCAAGAGTCCATGGGGGTCGAGGGTTAACCCTTCACTTTCTTGTTTTCTGGATCATCAACAAGAACAGCTCTGTACCGGTATTGCGAAAAATACACTTGACAAACGGGTCCTTAACGGTGTTTGGGTCTGTTTATTAGCCCATGGGCCTATAAACGGAGGTGGGCTTATATCCGGATATAGGCCTGTGGGCTTATATGCGCGGAACTACGGTATCGTTTTCCAGGCTAATGAAGGTAAGGAAAAATGTTGATAGGAAAAACCTCAGGCTCTTCAACAACATTCTGAAAACTAATGGTTTCGCGAGTAAAATTCCGTACCTTCTCCTCAGGTGATATATATTATTACAAGCAAGAGCAAACAAGAGCAAATACAATGAATTATGAACTCGGATGGTGAGCCAATTAAATTATGGTGAAAAAGGAGAAGGACAAAATGTTACGAGTTATGACTAACTGTCCACCAAGCACCATTTTGTCGCACTCAATGACTGTATAAGATCTGGTTACGTTGGTGGACAGTTAGTCATAACTCGTAACATTTTGTCCTTCTCCTTTTTCACCATAATTTAATTGGCTCACCATCCGAGTTCAACTTTGCACACCTTATGAGCCGCCATAACCTTTAAGGCGAAACGTACGTCGTGTGGAACAACTTGTTACTGCACATAACTAGTCTATCACACTTAAATGATACCGTGTAGTGAAGTTCAGTAGAATGTTGACGTTTCAGTGTGTCACAATTTGTCTTCGCTTAGCTTCCCCTTTCTTTGTTTTCCACATAAACTTGAGCCTCCCAAGTTGGGTGGTCTGTTGCGTCGTCGAATTGTAGTAAGGCTGGTATGTCCAATAGTCTAACTAGTTTCGTCATCATCCAGTAACATTTGGCATTCTTTGTTGCCGTGGCGCGTAGCATGTGCTCTTCTTCGTTGCGCTTTCCTTCCCCTCTTGGACCTTTCCGAACCTGAGCCTTCCAAGTTGGAAGGTTGTTGGTTTGTGCGCCTTGGAGAAGTGTTGGAGCTAGGAGTCAGGTCGCGGAATGTCTCAGTACTCCTTGTCAGTTTTGTGCCATTTTTGCCGCAACTCTGCTGTGATAGTTGCTAGGACTTCAATGTACATAACCAAGAGTGGCTCCACAGTAGCAGAACAACTAGAGGTGTCGAGCATGCAGAGGACATGTGCTACCTGCACGGTGTTGAACAGCTAGTCGACCAAACACCGCACGCCTGCAAGACACTGGACCAGATGATGACCGACCTACCCGTAGAATTATTTGTTTCTGTTTCGCCAGCTCTTGGTAAATCTGACCATGCCTGTCTACTTGCCGACTTCCAGATCCATGCATCATGCGACCCTCCCATGTGAAGAACTGTATGGAGGTATCAGCATGCATATTGGGCCAGGCTCCGTCACTTCGTAAGAACCACCAATTGGGCAGCTATTGCTTGGACTGATCCAGGCCTGTCGTGCACTGGCATCTCAGAGAGGATCCTGGAGGGTATGAAGAGATTCATCCCCTATAATACCCTGAAAACCCGTGCATTCGACCCTCCATGGTGGACCCCTGAGTGCACTGCTGCCACAGTGAGGAAATGACGTGCATGGAGATACCTGAGAGATGACTCGTCTGACGACAATCGACAGTCAGCTTACCAAGATGCTAGGCTCTCAACGGTTGCCTGTCTCAAAACTGCAAAGAGTGCTTTCATGGCGAAACTGAGACAGAAAATGACCTCAAAGCAGCTGCCACCCAGTGACCGGTAGCACACCGTCAAGTGTGCCTCTGGCAATGGGCGTAGTCAATCTGTTCCGACATTACGTGATCCCGATGGACGTGAGTACACAGCCGGCGCAGACAAAGCAGAATGCATGGCCCGCTATTTTGGAAGTAAATGCAGTCTTGGTCAAGATGTACTGTCAGCCCCATTCCCATATGTCAGGCCTCGAAATGAACAGGCTCTTTCGGATGGCCGTTTCCGTGTGGCTGCTGTCGAGCGCACCCGTTGGCAGTTCAACCCATCAAAGGCTACCGGGCCAGATGGGATACCGGCACGAGTGTTGAAAACCTGCTCTGCTGAACTGGAACAACCTCTTTTTACACTGTTCACACAATGCTTCCAAACTGGGATACAGCCCAAGACATGGAATATTGCCAACATAGTCCCTATACTCAAACGGAAAAGTCTCTACCCTCCAATTACCGTCCAGTTTCGCTCTTGTGTATTCTGTCCAAAGTGATGGAGACAATCATCAACAGAACAATAACTTAATTTCCTCGAGTCGAACAACGTCTTCTCCACAAGTTTGGATTTCGTCATGGCCATAGTGCAGCCGACCTCCTCTCCAGCCTCCACAACCAGTGGCTGCATACAGCCGGGGAGAAAGGTGCAGCACGCATACTCACCATTGACATAGCCGGCGCGTTTGATCGCGTATCACGCCCCGGTGTGCTACACAAGTCCAACGTATACGGCTTGCGTGGGCAACTGCACCAGTGGCTCAGCAGCTACCTCATTGAACGCTACCTTCAAGTGGTCATTTGTGGCCAGGATCCCTCAAGGCTCCCAATTCGGACTGGAGTCCCCCAGGGCAGTATTCTGGGTCCGACTCTCTTCCTCATATACGTGAACGACTGCGAGGACCACGTACCAGCCGGTGCTGACCTAGCCTCATTCGCAGACGACACTACACTGCATGCCAACATCACCACCACCACCCAAGCCCTCCAGCTAGCAGTCAACAACATCTCCCTCTGAAGTCAAGAATTGAAGATAGAAATTTGAACCAGCCAAATCCCAAGCACTGACTGTTAGCTTCCACCGCACCAAATGGAACATGCCACAGATTGATTTCAACGGATCTAACCTGAGGGAACAAGAGAAGCTCAGGCGTCAGTTTTGATGGTCAGCTTACCTTCCGGCGCCACCTTCGTATCGTAGCCCTCCGGGCAACACAGCGACTTAGCGCTTTGTGTTAGGCTTTCCACCTTTTAGACGTGCCCGGTCGCATCCAAGCCTACAATGCCTTTGTGCGCCCAGTGATGTAGTACTGCTCCATCGTCTGGATGTTAGCAGCCCCATCCCATCTTGCAAGACCCGACCGTGTGCAAGCCCGGGCCATCCAAACCATCGCCCCAATGTTTTGGCTACCCGAGTCTTGCTCTTCGTCGGATGGTTGCAGCACTTTGCCTCCTGTACAAGATGGATTGTCCAGATGCACATCCCCTTCTACAGAGGATGCTGCCACCCCAGCAACCCCAACACCAAACAGTCCACTCCACCTGTAGTACGATTTAGAGATGTTATGCCCATGCACACCAACTGGCAAATGAACTTCCAGTCCGTTCCCGAAACAACCTGTCTCGAGCCTACCCTCACACAGTTGTCCCCATCTGGAACCAGCTGCCCGCCGGAGTCTTCTCTGGTCCATTCTGCACCAAGAACTTGCAACATTAAAAGGTTGCAGCCAACCATTCTTTGAAGACCAACGACTGGTCATGGGTACATGACCATCTCTGAGTATCAGCATCACATCTGCCTCACCCCATGACTTTTAAATTCCGCTCCAAATACTCCTCCCAATAACAACTGTTCTTCTTTTCTCTCATTCTCCACCTAACACTGGCTGTGTGATCTTTTCCTCCTTGAAATGTCCTGTCTCCCCTCCTAACATTTCGTATCATGTACCTGTCACTCCTTTCAATTGTTTCTTCTTCTTTCTTTTTGGTGTGTTTTATGTCCCCATGACGTCGAGACCTCAGGTTGGCTGAGGGCAAAAAGCCTTTACCATCGCTATGCTCCCACTATGCATTTTTTGTCTTTGCCTGTGAGCTGTGTTCATTGTAAATAAATTAAAAAAAATGGTCGCACTCATTGACTGTATAAGGTTTGGTTACGTTGGTGGACAGTTAGTCATAACTCGGAACATTTTGTCCTTCTCCTTTTTCACAATAAATTATGTACAGCAATATAGTGATAAAACTAGGTCAAAGCAGAATAGCTAAAAACAACGATGATTAATACGTGACCAATATACATCATGCCTATACATAATTCATTGTTCTTGCTCTCATTTGCTCATGCCGCTATATTACCTTTTTGATGCGGAAGGAGACAATGTACGGGAGAAGGTACGTCACAACATGAAGAGGAGGCACGGTAGTTTACTCGCAAAAAAATTATTCAACTGCGTAATTCTTCTTTCTGCTCATAAAAACGAGCATGCAACAGGGATAATCTGACTTACATTATTCCTTGGTTCCAACGAATGTCCAGAAGTGAGAAGATAATCCACTGTGGAAACATGACCATTATATGCTGCACGATGTAATGGTGTGTCACCATCCTGGAAGTAGCAGCAAATTAAAGACAAGACATGTACACACATACCCACATTCATACACATGTTGATGCACACACACCTTTGCACGCACACACACACACACTCATGCACGCATGCACACACACACACACACACACACACACACACACACATACAAACACACACACACATCCAAAAACACACACACACACCTCAGATCCCCGATCTCAGACCTGCCCATCGCAGAAGCAATGGTAAAGAACAGCTACGTTAGACACAGCAACTAGTGATGGGATAACACACACAAACACACACACACACAAACACACACACACACACACGCACAAACACACTTTTTTTACAAGCTAACCACAAACCATCATGGTGCAAACGCCGGAAAAAACGCACAGGGATGCACATAGCAATGGCAGCCGAAGCAGTGGAGGCGGGGCAAGAGCAGCTAAACCGACCAGTGGTCTCGGCCTCAGCACTGCTCATGCGCGCCAAACAGAAAAATACGAAAATAGAAAAAAATGAGCAGGAGCACTACAGAGCAAATGTGAAATAAGGGTGGCAGCACGGTCACGGAATGTTGTTCAATGGGAGAAAAAAAATTGAGGTTCAGGTACACCATACATTAACTGCATACAACCAGCAGCAGGTATCCGAAATCATACACGCACACACACACACACACACGCACACTCGCGCGCACGCGCGCACACACACACACACACACACACACGAACACGTGAACAGCCACACACACACACGCACACACGGAAGTGTTACACACACACATACTATACACACACACATTTACACACACACACACACATCACACAAACACACACACACACATCACACACACATACACACACACACACACACACACACACACAAGTACTATACACAAAGAGACACACAAGTACTATATACACACACACACACACTATACACACATGCACACACACACACTATACACACACGCAAGCAAACACGCACGCACACACACGCACACACACACACACACATACACAGATCGCAGGTGCGTAGAGGCCCAATGCCAGTCAGCAGATCGCAGATACTTATGAACGCCTTCTTTGAACTGCTGGAGGCGAGGTAGAGCAAGTGGTGCTGTGATGAGCTCTGGAGGAAGGCGATTCCACTCCTCAACGATGGCGGATGGAAATGATCGCTGTACGCTGTTGCGCGAGTGACGGCTGTGGGGCATGGCAAACTGCAATTCATGGCTAATCCGGCTCTGCTGACGAGTGCGAGGATGCCCTTGCAGCTCTGGTGCAGTGGCAGGGATCATTGCTCGCAGTGATGAGCTAGTTGGGAGGCACTGGAGGTTGTATAAGTACGTGTGAGCAGCAACAGCACGGCGGAGGGCCAGACTTGGGAGCCATGACTCACGAGAGATGATCTTGAGAGCTCGTAACTGAACTGCATCGAGCTGGCAAAGAGTTGTAGTGGCAGCCCCCATCCAGACCAACGGGCAGTATTGAACTATTCCATTACTGGTCTGACGAAGCCTTTGTAGACCCGCTCTCTTCCACGAACATCAAGGATGGGGGCAGCTCTGTTCAGGAAGTGTAACCGCTGGCGAGCACTTACGGCTACAGAGCGCAAATGCTGGTGGAAAGACAACTGTGTGTCGAACTGGACTCCTAGGAGCTTGAGCTCTGCTTCCTTCACAACTGGTACTCTATCGAAGGAGATGGCTGGGAGCTGCCGACATGGCCAATGGTGATCGATGGTGAGGGTCTGGGATTGGTGGGCTCAAATGAGATCTTCCAGGCTTTGCCCCAGGCGGAGAGGTCATCCACTGCATGCTGCAAAACACGGCTTTGTTCATTCACGTCTGCGCCCACTGCGAGACACTGATACAGTGTGGTATCGTCCGCATAGACAGCAAGATCTACGCCCTCTCCGAGAGTAGTGTCACTGTCATTCACGTATAACAAGAAAGGAGTAGGCCCCAGTATACTTCCTTGAGGAACACCGTCGTGTCGTCAGCTGCGGCGGAAGAAATGGAAGACATTGCGGAATGACCCCACGCAGGATGCAGCTGCAAAATAATAAGTCGATCATGTCTCCGCACTCTTCAGCTACTCTTTGTCATTCTAGCTGCTTACTGCACTATTTCAAAGGTATTCAAGCTGCCTACCCACCTTAGAATGCTAAATATTTATTGTACACATATATCGTATACATACATTGCACCAATTTGGAGTACACCTTGTATATTGGTGCATACACCCGTTAAGAATCGGAATATTGAACTTTTTCTTGGCTGAGGTCCTTCAGTAGATGTGTTTGAACAAATTTCTAACCAAAAAGGAATTTTGAAAATTTTGACCCAAGGGCTGTTTTCGCTGGTTGAGGCCCAAATGTCGTTCCCAATAACTTGTTCCTGTTGTCCCTTGTAATGTCTGGAGAAGATGTCGTCAGTTGACCTTCTTCGGACTCAACATAACAACAACTGCGTAGTGAAGAAATTGTGTAGCATTATTCCCACATCGACGAGGAATAGCATCAACAAATTGTACAGACAATACATTTTCTTTCTGGAAACAAAGCATAGGATCAAACTTAAGTTTGTACAACGCTTCTAACACAGCCGAATGCAATCGACCTGTACCACGTGACAGTACTGAGCAAACGTCATTACAGTAGATCTACCGACAATTAGCATACGTGGACAGATGGCTTTAGATAGATGAAGTACCACTCTGGGCTCCTTTCTTTGTTGTCCCCTCAAGTGTCCTGTCATCTCTCCTCTGCGTGACATCACAGTACCCATCTTATGGCCTGGTGGAGTTCATTGTCCCTTCAGCTGCATCTCCTCCAGTATGATTCTTCATGGAGCTTCTCACTCTAGCTTCTCTAGTCTCAAAGTTCTGGTTTAATTAAGCGGTCTTCCACGTTGTCTAACATCCACTTTTGTTATCACTTCTATTGTCATTGAAAGTCGGTCCTCTCCAGTACGTCTTCTCACTTGGCTTCATGTGACGCTGGTAAATCCTTTCACAGTTTGGTTGGTTTTGGGGTGGGCCTTGCTCCAACTTTCACATTTCTCTGGGTTGACTCCAGCCCCACACATGCGGAGGAGGAGAAGCAAGTTGGCATATCTACACCGGAAGAGGATGATCCAACAGTAGACTGTGAATTAAATTTAGGAGGACGACCAAGACGACAAGGAGACTCAAGCGCATCAAGCGGAACAACACTTTACGGCACATTTTGGCGGATGCGTGCGCTTTATTATCATACTGTTTTTACAAAACACATACCGTATTTTACCGGTTGTAAGTCTGGAGGTCTCAATTCTGCGTTTTAAAGTTTTCACCCAAAGAAGCACTACTAACCACCTCCTGCTACTAGCACATCAACAAATCATGTAAACATTCCTTATTGGAGGATATAACGTCCCAATCCTTGAAAAAGGCCAATAAACTGGGAAAAATGTGTTCACATGGTGCACTCGTGAATGCAGTGCAGGTCAATTTTTGTAAGATACTGATAGTTCCCGGTTATAAGTCGAATCCCGGTTGTAAGTCGACCCCCATCCTTTCTTCTTCTACTTTAAGTCGTAAAAGGTCGACTTACAACCGGAAAAATACGGTACATCGTTATTTTGACGGCACAAAGCAGCAAGGCGGCAATGAGACATACGGAATGGTACGGGTGGAGGAAAGGGAGGGGCAGCTTGCTGGCCATAGGATCTCGGCTTCATTGCTACCCAAGTTCGAGGCAAGGGGATCAACGGCCGGTGTTCATAACGGCAGCATCCACACAACGCAGACGGGAAAGGTGTCAGCTATGTATAGATGCCACAGACCTGAGCCTCATAATAACTCCGGACTTCTGGTCAAGGCCTCTATACGCCCGGCCATGGGAGTACCGAGACCGTCCGAAGCCCAACCGACAACACCCTGCCAGCGCTGCGAAAGATGACCCTACACCTGATGGTGGTGACAGCGCTTACAGAGACAGTACGGCATTAGCTGGCGCCACCCCCCCCCCCCCCATTGATCAGTTCAGCTCCGCCGCTCCGCTGGCTAGTAACGAACGCATTTGGTCTCACCAACAATCTGGAAGCGTGGCAGCATGCACTGCTCAACGATAACGTTGACATAGCAGTTATCACAGAAACGAACTTCTCGGCCAAGACTGTAGCCTCTGAGACGATATTTCCAGGATACTCGCTTCCCATCCAACGTGACCGGGATGCATTTGGTGGCGACATTGCTGTATGGGTGAAGTCCGGCCTCCCAGTGGTGCACCTCGACCAGATTCCCACTGATGACCACGAAGTCCTCCGGCTCGCAGTGAGTCTTTCTACGCAACAATCTGTTGTTATCTGTGCCTTGTTTCGGGCTGGATCCTGTGCGGACAACGACACCTGTCTGATTGAGTATCTTGGACCTGCACTATACGTGGCCCGCACTCACGGCACTCACATAGAGCTAGCTTGGGATTTTAATGTCCATCAAGAGACTTGGCTCTGCAGCAGTAAAACAACTGTAGCTGGAGAGGCCTAGGAAGAACTGTGTGCTGAGCCTCAACTCCACCAGCATGTCTTGCAGCCGACTAGGCGTCTGAACACCCTGGACCTCATCCTCTCCAACATGTCCGTTCCTATCGACACCACTGCCAAAGCGCCACTTGGTTGCTCTGACCATAGGGTTCCTCTTGCCGACTTTTATCTCACCCCTGATGCTGAGCAAGCTACCTCCAGGACTGTCTGGCGCTACAATCAGGCAGACTGGGGGCGCTTCTGACTGGTCCACCATTGCGACTGACGACCCTGAAGAGTCCTGCAGGAAGCTAAGTGACGTCATCTCCAGCGGGATGCAGAAATTTATCCCCGCCAAGCAGCTTGTTACCCGCCCAGCAGACCCCAAATGGTGGACTCCTGAGTGCACCACAGCATTTAACGCTAAAAACAAGGCATGGAAGGCGTTAAGACGCAATATTGTCAGCGAAGCCCACAAGGCTTGCTTTATGAGCTCAGA